TTAGAATTTCAGTTTTGTAAGATAAAAAGATTTCTGGAGATTGATTATATAACAATATGAATGTACTTTACTGAACTGTGCATTTAAAAATGGTTAAGATGATATATTTATGTTATGTATTTACTACAATTTTTTTGAAAGAAAAAATCATTCAGAGGAAGGAAAATACAGAAGAATAAAAATTAAAATAACTGCTGATCTCTCATCAGAAACAATGAAGGTCAGAAGACTAGAATGGTATCCTTTAAATGCTGAAAGAAAACAGAACTGTCATTCTGGAATTCTATACCTAGCAAAATCTCTCTCAAAACTGAAGGTGAAATTAAGAAATTTCCAGATAAATGAAACCTGGAAAAATTTCTCACCAGGTCACTCACATGGCAAGAAATGGCAAAGGGAGCTCTTCATACTAAAGAGTAAGAAAACCAGGGGAAAACCTCACTAGACATTGTTTGAGTTTTGCTTTTAACACTTATACATATTTTAAAGAAGTTAAAAGGGAAAAATAATCTTTCATAGTTATGCAGGTATTTACTATTTCTATTGCTCTTCCCTCATTCCTGAAGATTCAGGTTTCCATCTAGTACCATCTTGCTTCAGCCTGAGGAAATTTCTTATCAGTTTTTAAAAGGAGATCTCTTGGAAATGCTCTTATTTTTCCTTTATCTGAGAGAATGTCTTAATTTTGTTTACATTCCTGAAGGATACTTTTGCGGAATACGGACTCCTTGGTTGGCAGAGGGTTTTTTTTTCTTTTCTTTTCTTTTTTTTTTTTTTTTTGAGACGGAGTTTTGCTCTTCTCACCCAGGCTGGAGTGCAATGGCGCGATCTCAGCTTGCTGCAACCTCCGCCTCTCAGGTTCAAGCGATTCTCCTGCCTCAGACTCCTGAGTAACTGGGATTACAGGCACCCACCACCACGCCTGGCTAATTTTTTTGCATTTTTAGTAGAGACGGGGTTTCACCGTGTTAGCCAGGATGGTCTCGATCTCCTGAGCTCAGATGATTCACCTGCCTCAGCCTCCCAAAGTGCTGGGATTACAGGTGTGAGCCACCATGCCCAGCAGCAGAGGGTTTTTTCTTTCCATTAGTTTCAAGTATGTTTTCCTTTATTACATGGAATGTTGTTTTAATAGGAGCTTTGAAATCTGTGTCTGAAAATTCCAACATCTGGGTTATTTTGAGGTTCGTACCTGTGACTTCCATTGAGAATGGGTTATATTTTTCTGGTTTTCAATACACAGAGACATTGTGGATTACAGATCCCTGAATGCTATGAACATTATGTTGTGTAGCTGCTGGGTTCTGTTATAATCCCATGGAGAAGTGATTTTTTTTGTTTGTTTTGAGACAGGGTGTCACTCTGTCACCCAGGCTGGAGTGCAGTGGCACGATCTCGGCCCACTGCAACCTCCACCTCCCGGGTTCAAGCGATTCTCCTGCCTCAGCCTCCTGAGTAGCTGGGATTACAGGGGCCCACCACCACGCCCAGCTAATTTCTGTATTTTTGGTAGAGATGGGGTTTCACCATGTTGGCCATGCTGATCTCAAACTCCTGACCTCAGGTGATCTGCCCGCCTCGGCCTCCCAAAGTGCTAGAATTATAGGCGTGAGCCACTGCACCCGGCCGAGAAGTGATATTTTTATAGGAAATCAACCTGGTTAGGTTCAGACCGCAAGTTCTGTCTCCCCTCCTGTGTATGGTAGTTCAAATCTTCATTCAGTTCACATAGACTTTGTTGCACTCGATTGGGTCCCACACGCGTAGCCCAAGGTGATCCTAAGACTCACGTAGTTTCATTCCCAGAGTTAGAAGATCCCTTCTCCAGCTCTCTTCATTCTGGAATACTTGCTCCTTCCAGCCCCAATGGGGCCCCTCTTCTGGTTCCCCTACTCAGAAAGATGGGGTTTTTATGACATTTTAGACATTTGTTCCACTGTGCTACTTTGTGATGGGGCCCAACCTGGAGGCAAATCCACGAAAGACAAAAAGTTTACCTCTGTGTAGTCACTTCTACAAGTTTTTCTCCCCTTTACAATCTGTCTCCTTTCATTCATTTTTCAGAATCTTTGGGCATTGTACTTTAGATTTTGTCCAGAGTTTTTAGTTGTAATCAGTGGGAAGGAAAGCCTGTGGTGGCTTCTGCCACCATAGTGGAACTGGAACTCCCCAATTCTTTTTCAGTTTCTATATCCATCCTAAAATCCACCATCTCTTCACCTATTATATCCATTCATTACCCCCATAGATTAAAAAATTAACGTAGTTATTTTAAAGTCTTGTAGGCTGGGTCCAAAAGCTGGGTTTATTTTGATCTCTTTCTAGATATCGAGTTCTCTTAACTATGGGTTAATGTATACAGTTTTTCATATATCTGGCATTTTCTCATTGTGTACTGAATATTCTGGATGATATGTTATTGGAACATCATAGGAGAAGCCCTGTAAACTGAATTTCACTTCTTTCAATAGTCAGATCTCTTGCAGTTTCTGCCTTTTTAAATTGCTCTTCGGGGCCTTAAAAGTTATTTTTTAATATTTTGTCCAGAGTTTACAATTATTACAGTGGGTTCAGCATGATGCAAGCTACTCCACTACTACAAGAAAATATATAGTCTTTCTGGATTTAAGAAAGCTTCCTTCCTACCCTTCAGTTGGAATTCTGCAAACATTATTCGAAGTTATTTTCTCCAAAAATCTCCCTGAGATCCTGCTCATTACCCTATCATTCCCTCATCCACACAAGTGAAAACCACGACAGAGAAGAACATGGCTTGGTCAAAGGCCTACAACAATGTGACTTCCTCAGCTGCAGAAAGTTCTATCTCTTCTACTAGGTTATCCCTCTACAACACAGATTTGTTCAAATATTTATTATGCACCTACTGTGAGCTCCGTCTTCAAATAATAATGTATTAATATAAAAATCCACACTACAAGGCAGAACGTTCCAAATGCTGTGAGAGAGAGAATAAAAAACTGCTGTGGTGATTCATAGAAAAAGTGAATTCCATCCAGGTAAGAAGATTAATAGAGATTTCACAGAGGAGGTGGCGGGGCAAAGATTAGCCCTAATGGCTAATTCAAGCAGAGATGTTTTTATGTTTGTTCTCTGATGCGTCAGCAGGATCACTGGAGTGATGGTGGTGGCAATTGTTAATACTATATAAATCCTTCTACTTAAAGGGTGAGCTGTAGACAAGCTGCACTGGTATCATCTGGAGTTTATCAGAAAGGCAGGATCCCAGGACATAGGCCAGGCTTACTGAATCAGAGTATTTCAACAAGGTCTTCAGGTATTTCATATGCATGTTTAAGTCTGCAAGGCACTACAGCGAAGTACTTTGCCTTTCACTACAACTATGATTTTAAGACCTTACATTCTCTGCTCCCAGGCAGTTGTATATGTAGTAGAAGAGGATGGGGCATAAGAAGAACAGGTAAAATGTATTTACTCTATAGTACTATTTTATGTATGTTTTATCATTTTACACTCATTAGTAAGCCTTTGAATTAGTTATTTCCATTGTGAAGATAACAATATTGAGGGTTAATTAGGTTAAATAATTGGCCTAAGATCACAAAGAAAGTGGAAGAACCTGATTTTGAACCCATATCCGACTGACTCCAAAGCCTGAACATGCTTTCCATTATACCACACTGCCTATCTCTGGTCAGCGATTCAGGAGAATCAGGTACTATTATTTACAGTTATGCCACTAACTAGAGTTCAGTGACCTTGATTAACTCACTCTATCTTTTTAGGACTCAGCTCTTCATGTATAAGTTGATGGAAGTTGAACTAGTGAAAGTTCACAAACAAATCAACCATGTTGCTTCATGAAAATGGGTATCTGAGGCAGCCTTAAGAATGAGTTTTGGGGCCTCTTCTGTGTGACAGCAGATGACCCAGAAAAACAAAAGTAGGGTAGCATAGTGTAGAGAAAAGAGTACAGGACCAGGAACAAGAAGACCTGGGTTCTAACCCAACCTCTGCTATTTATTAGTTGAGAGTCTCAGTTTCTTCATCTATAAAATGGAGATAAAATTTTGTACACTGGCCATGTCTCAGTGTGTTGATTGGTTCAAATGAGATATGTATGAAAATATTCTCAAGGACAAAATCAAGTAATACATTAGTACAGCCATTTCTCCATTTGCCTTAATTGTCATAACATGAATCATAAATTAGATCTTGTAAGTTAATTAAAATGTGATTTGTAATCTGCTGGCTATGGTAGCAATTGGAAATTAGGTCTGGCAAAGCCTATCGGCTCTGCACTTTTGCTTACCCTAACAATGGGAATAAAACATAATAAATATATGTCCAGGTTCTGCACCTGTGAAAGAGCTGATGATGTCAGAAAAACAAAAGACCATTATCCTAGAGCAGGGAGCCATTGCTCTATAACTTTGTTAGGATGGAAATTTTCTATATCTGTGCTGTCTGGTACAGTAGCCCTAGACATATGTGGCTACTGAGGACTTGAAATGTGGCTAGTACAATTGAGGAACTGAATTTTACATTTTATTTCATTTTAATTAATTTGAATTTATGTAGACATATGCAGGTAGTAGCTACCATACAGAATAGTGCAGTTCTAGAGCAAAAGCAAGGTATAGATTTGTTCAACAATGTTATGGTTTTATAGCTATACTTTTAAGGCCAACAAGTAAATTTACTGTTTTTTTTTGCAATTCGGAAACTCTGTCCCCTAATGCTTTCACCCCGCCTCCAAATCAAACAACATTTTTTATAGCATTATTTTTGATAATGGGAGGTTTCTCTGGAACCCAGTAATCACTGTGTAGCAACACAGATGATGCCAATAAAATATGAAGGCTACAGAAGCAAAAAATTATGTTTTGTCATAGATGTGTTTGTTTACCTGAAACGATATAATGTTTTGCTTGTCTTTAAAATTAAAAAACTAGGGACTGAAAAGTACTAGGCCCTGTGAGCAGTCACTAACCCACCTAATGGCTGTGGCAGCCTCCTACCTTGCATTTTCTGCTCTTCGGCTTATGCACTGGTGCAAGTAGAGATACTCCTGAGGTGCACTGGTGGACAAGGCGGGCTGCATGTGGTTTGACACAGGGGGTTCAAACGTGAACAGAGTTGGCTGGCTGGAGTGTGATGGGGCTGAGGACTTGCGCTCTCGGAGAAGGTGCTGGCTAGAGCTGCTGAGCTCAGCTGGAGAAGAGCGGGGGCCATGACCAGCTGAGGAAATGTTTCTCAGGGTGTCTGTAAAAAGGAGAAATAGCTCTGTGAATGAAAAAAGAAGGAAATGTATCTTTATCCCAAAGTGAGTTGTTAGAGGAAGAAAAAAGAGTAAGAGCAGAGGCAATAATCCAGCAGTAGCATTCTCTCCCTCTCACAAACCTGCCCCTTGCTGCCCTCCTGGCCATCTTGGTTGAAGAAGAGATCCTCTGTACCTCTGTACTGCTTCTGGGGTAGCCTGGAGGTGACTTCCTATCACAATTTGGGCTATATCTGCCCCACTTCCAGGAAGTACGGCTACCTGTGGTCTAGGAGTGTGAGACCCTCAGGCAAGGTCTGCCTCTAGAGCAATGTGTACTACCACCTTCCCACTCTTTGGTGGCTCCTGCTGTCGTCAAAGGATGAAATCATGTCTTTTGCAGCAACATGGATGCAGCTGGACATCATTATCCCAAGTGAATTAATGCAGAAACAGAAAAGCAAATACCCTAATGTTCTTGCTTGTAACACAGGGTGCACATGGACATAAAGATGCAAACCCTAGACACTGGGGATTACGTTAACAGGGAGGGAGAGGGGGGACAAGGATTGAAAAACTACCTATGGGGTACAATGCTCACTATTTGGGTGATAGGATGAACAGAAGGCCAAACCTCAGCATTAGACAATATACCCATGTAACACACTTGCATATGTACCCTGGCGTCTGAAAAACAAGCCGAAATTAAAAAAAAAAAAAGAAATTTAAACATCTAATTAACGGGGGAAAAAAAAAAAGCTAAGGCTGGCTTTGTTAAATGAGGCTTTGCTTACTGAAGACTCATTAATTGAGGCTCTGGACTGTGCCTTACTGCATTAATGATAAAAGCACAAATGCATTTGGAGCTGTCAATACTGGACCCCAGCTGCTCCTGCCTGGCCTCCTGAGACCTCCAAGGACAGTTACATTCCCCACTGCCCACCACTCTCTGTCTATTCGTCTTTTTCCCTCTTATCTTAAACTCTCCTCTGTTGTGTTAGAAAGTGAGGTATTAAGGAAGGATAATAACTTATAGTGCTACACCCCAAGCCAAGGGCATTATTCATTCGGCTGGCTCTCTAAGCTTAGTCCAAATTCCTTAGCATAACATAACAAGGCTTTTGACAGTCTGACCTATTTCCCGCTTTTCTCCACCCATAAACAAGGCATATGGAAGCATCATCAATCCCTGAACACACCAGCCTCTTTTATGATTCTTTGTTTTGGCCTCTGCTGTTCCTTCCGCTTGGATTTCACCTCTACTCTACTGGAAAACTCATATGTAGACTTTTTATCCTACGCGGATATCATATTCTCTCCGAAACCTTCCTGGAGTTGGATCTTCTTCTGTGTGCCAACAGCACTTGGCCCATGCTCCCATTATATCCGCGGTCACTATGCTTCCTTGTCTAACCCATGGCTTTGAGAACAGTGACTGTGATGTTGTTACCATTATAGTCCCAGCATTTACCTAATAAAGGCAAGGTACATAGCAGGTTCTTAGTTCATGTCTGCAGACCAAACAAACACAACACGTTCATTCAGCATTCAAAACTTCCACTAGTGAAACTTCTTGTTCAAGAGAAATAAAAGTTTAAAGATGTAATTTTAGGCAGCATGATAGTTGGTGGGTTAACATTTTGGTGGTGGTGATGGTGATATTCTAGGGTTATTCAACTCATGTCAGAGGGGACACAGTTCACCTTCTACTCCCTGTCATCTGACCTACCTCAGGCTATACCCTTCTCATGGCCCTAGGCAGGATCACCAGCTCATTAATGCTCTACAGTATTAATTACTCTCCAGGCATTTCTGGTGCTGGGCAGGACACCTTCTGCCAGTGTACAACAGAAAAAGCTGATGGGCCTCTGGGGAAAAATTGTTCCACTGACAGCTGTACTGACCTCCAAAATGAACTCCCATTACAGGTCTTGCAGTAAACTGGACATTTGTTAACAGAATCGATGGCTCATTACTCCATTATATTTGCAAGATGAACTCTCTAATAGTGGAGGAGAGAGGTTTTACAATATGGGACAGAGTAGCCACAGGGCCATGGAAAGAATACAAGCTACTGCCTAAGAAAACACAGGGAACCTGCAAAAACCAAGCCTCTGGTGAGATTCTGTATTCTCTGTTGTTTCATTGGACTCCTCTTCCTTCACCTGCCCCTTCAGTGGAGGCATTCCTTAGGGCTCCACTGTAGACCTTCCTATAGCCTCTCTCTCTCCCGCTGGAGACTCTCCAGGGGTAATCCTGTCCACTGCCACAGCTTCAGTTACCACCTATGTGCTGACAACTCTCAAATCTTCATCTCTATCTCAGTTCTCTCTCCGGTACTCCCTGCTGTATATCCCTTCACCTGCTGAGCACCTCCATTCAGACGTCCTGCAAGTGGGCCAAACTCAACAATTTAAATTGACCCCTTCATCACTCATGTTCCCTGTCTCAGCGAGGTCCCTCATCACCAGCCAATCAGTTCTCCAAGCCAGAAGTCCAGGCATTATCTATGACTCTTCCATTTCTCAGCAAGCATGTCATGTCATTATGTCACTGTCCCACTTAAAAACTCTTCTGTTATACCTCAGAAGACTTACAAATATCTTTCTTTTTTTCCTTTTTTTTCTTTTTTTTTTTTTTTTTTGAGATGGAGTCTCACTCTGTCATCCAGATTGGAATGCAGTGGTGCGATCTTGGCTCACCACAACCTCTGCTTCCTGGGTTCAAGTGATACGCTGGCCTCAGCCTCCCGAGTAGCTGCGACTACAGGCATGTGCCATGACGCCCCGCTAATTTTTGTATTTTTAGTAGAGATGGGGTTTCACCATGTTGGTCAGGATGGTCTCGATCTCCACTGCCTTGGCCTTCTAAAGTGCTGGGATTACAAGCATGAGCCACCACACCCAGCCAAAGCTCTCTCTTTTTTAGAGACATGGTCTCACTCTGTTGCTCAGGCTGGAGTGCCATGGTACAATCATAGCTCACTATAACCTCGAACTCCTGGGCTCAAGCAATCTTCCCACCTTAGCCTCCCAAATAGCCAGGACTACAGGCATGTGCCACCATGCCAGGCCAATTAAAAAAATTTTTTTGTAGAGACAGGGTCTCACTATGTTGCCCAAGCTAGTCTTGAACTTCTGGCCTTAACCAATCCTCCTGCCTTGGCCTTCCAGAGGACTAGGATTACAGGTATAAAGCCCTGCACTCAGCCTCTTTTTTTAAAGCCACTTTCCTGTTTCTTTCTTCAACCTTCTTTCTTACCGGTGCTTCCCTGTGTTTCAAATAAAATTCCAGGAAAATATCAACCTTTCTCTCATCACTTTGTACATCAGGCTGTAAACACAGTGATGACAGAGATTCTGAAATGGTGTTATCCTCATCATTAAGCCCAGTGTGTGATACAATTCAATAAATACGTGTTGATCAAAGAAAGTACAGAACATAAGAAATCCTTATTCCTCAGTAACATTCACTGACTCCTCACTGCCTTCAGAATAAAGTTGAGTTTCCTCAGTATTACAAGAAAGGCCATTGACACAACCTACTTATTCTGCCTTGTCATCAAATGCATCCTTCATGCCCCCTATGTTGAATGCTTTGGCTGTGAGTATAAATAAAAGAGGAGTGACCCATCCTCACCTCTGCAGCCCCTGCCTTGAGCTCAGCCTGTGGAGTCTTATCTGTGACTCCGTCTGTTCAGCTGCATACTTGGGGAAGTCACTTCACCTCTGAGAGTCTCAGTCTCCTTATTTACAAACCAACACAGGGCAGCTATAAGGATGAAAAGAATGAAATACGCACAAAGTCTAGAAAATCTTGAATGTCATAGGTACATGGAACACCTTCTAGTCACTTATGTACCCCCAGGGCCTAAAACAGCCCCAGCCATGGTATGTATGCAATACGTATTTGTTGACTGATCATACTGAAAAAATAAAAGAATTTTTCCTGGCACAAAAATCCAAATATGCATGTTTCTTGTGGTCAAAATCAGAGAGGTTTTAAAGGTTTGTTAATATGAAGTAGGGATTAGGATGAATTGCGCCTTCATCTAACAGAAACTTGGATTTCTATTCCAGCACAAAGCCATGTCAATGAAACCAGCCAGCTCCATCTAATGATCGACAGCTTGGCCGGGTGCAATAGCTCATGCTTATAATCCCAACGCTTTGGGAGGCTGAGACAGGAAGGTTGCTTGAGGTCAGGAGTTTGAGACCAGCTTGGGAAACCTAGTGAGAGCCGTTTCTATCAAAAATTAAAAAATTAACTGGGCATGGTGGTGTGTGCCTGTAGGCCTAGCTACTCAGGAGGCTGAGGTGGGAAGACTGCTTGAACCCAAGAGATTGAGGCTGCAGTGGGCTATGATCGCGCCACTGCATTTCAGCCAAGATGACAGAGTGACACCTTGTCTCAAAAGAAAAAAAAGTATGTAGCTGTAGATAAATTCTTTCAAAGCTGTTTTGGCACTAAAACTTGCCAAAATCCCACTTCTGCTTGCAACTTTAAAAAGATCTCTGCCTAAATTTATGTGATTATTTCTTAGTGTTTATACTAGGTTGACTAGTGTCCTTCCAAAAGTTGTGTCTACCTGGTATTTCAGAATGTGATCTTACTTGAAAATAGCATCTCTGTAGACATAGTTAAGGGGAGGTCATACTGGATTAGGGTGGGCCCTCATCCAAAGAACTGGTATCCTTCTAAAAGAGACACAGAGACAGAGAAACACACAGGTAGAATACCATGTGATGTATGGGTTAAGGTAGAGATTGAAATGATGTATCTACAAGCCAAGGAATGCCAAGGACTGCTGGCAGCCACCAGGAACTAACGGAAAGGTAGAAACAGACTCTCCTTAGAGCACCCAGAAGGAACTAATACCACCAATGCCTTAATTTTGGATATCTAGCCTCTAGAACTGTGCGAAAATACATTTTTGTTGTTTTAGTCTACCCAGTTTGTGGTAATTTGTCATAGCGGTCCTAGGAAACCAATATATACCATAAAACCTAAAACTTCAAACAAGGTT